TTTCTAAGATATCCTCATTTCACAAATCATGTTCAAATTCTGATAGACAATAAACAGGTATTTTAATTGGTAAAGTATTAGTGATAAACGTGTACGAAATGAGATGTCGACAAAATGAAGATAAATAAATTACGATTGGCAGGCATCCTGTACGAAAATTTTCACACAATTTCTGGAATGAAAGGGATTTGAAAAAACGAAGTTCACATACGATGCGTATAAACCAATTGATTCTCTTGATGATGACCTGACTTCCTCATATAGTGTACTGTACTATATTTGAAACTCTGCCAGGGGTACAATCACTATACAGAAATCTTATTATTTAAGAGCAATAATAAACCTTTGAAGCTTTGGGAATTACATGCATGCATCGGGATCAAAGGTACCCCATATTTATTTACGTTCAAGCTTCATATGTGAGTGTGACGCGGTTCTCAAACACACGAAGTTCACAGGAATGCGATTCATCAGGAGTTATGCGAGAAATTATTCCAATAAGGTACTGCTGCAGAGATTGCATGAATTTCAAGTGATTATAGAAGAAAAAAAATTCTTGAATGAAAGCATAAAGCCTTGAATGTGTGGGTGGGTTAGAAATACAGTACTGTTGAACCTCTGTAAGTTGAATTTCTAGGGACCAGGAAAGAAATTCAATTTAAGGAGGTTTTGATTTCTGCAGAGTTTCCAGTCAAGGAATCTAACAATTTTGTTGCCAGGAGCAGTGAAAAAAGTGTGGGAAATTGTAAAGGAGGATATTCTGGGCCTAAACTTGCTCAATAATGAGTTTACACCTTTAATGATAAACTTGGAGGTAGGGATTCATTTGCTCTATTAGTCTTTCACTTCTTTTCAAGATGCATGAAATAATTTGTTTCAATGATTTTCTCTATCATTTTTCAAGGAAACAATAACTAAAATGCCTCAGGAGATACGCCTTTCATATAGGTTTTAGAGAAAAAGACTTTGGGTTAGGGATGAGGTTTTTAATGCAATGATTCTAAGGGAATTCAGAAAGGGAGCTTCAACTTATCGAGGTTCAACTGCCATTAAAGACTAGAAGGATATATTCCTCTTCCATATTTAAAATCCCGAATTTTACAGAAAAAAAAATGCGTGAAGAATTTATCCAGGCAATCTTAGGAGTACTTTTGAGACGATTTCAATCGATCAAATACATTAAAACGGAGTACAGAAACCTTCCGAAGAAACTCTCTTCAATGAGCTAGCTGAACCTAACATTTGACAAATGAGCAAGCCAAAAAAAAGTAAAGAGGAATTCTAAACTTTCAAAGCAACCGAGTAACCTTTGCATCTCTGGATAGTCAATATGCAAATTCCCGGGAAAATGCTTCTTCATCTGCTTAAAAATGCGCAGCTCGATGCATTCAAAAAACATGCGTCTTGGACTCTTGCCTGCTTCTGGACAGCAATCTAAACAAGCATGATTTATGGCAGTCTTTTCCATATCAAACAACTCATTTATCTTCATCCGTCACCAGTATTTTTTTAGTTTTAAAGAAAACGCTTCAAGTATTCGCATTTTGATCTTGAATTTTAAAACATAATGAATGTATCAAGTGTTTTAGACTTTACGTATCAAAAGAATGTGACAATGTCTCATCTTCTGTAAGAAATCTACTGAACAGCAATAATGCTTGTATTCCAAAAAAAAACATGGCCACATCTTCAAGCTGCCAAGATTGAAAGAATACACAAATCCAGGTAAGTACTGTGCCTTTTGTCCTGTTAAAATAATTGAAAACGGGCAGAAGCATGTTTTGACCATGAATTCACACCAACTAACCTCATGTTTATTGTTGACACATGCTTCTCTTAACATGTTCAAAGAGCCAGATTATTAGCAAGACATTAATCAAGATCTGAACAAGTGGTTATGAGCTCAAATGAAACACATGCACACATTTTTACAAAACAAGGTTCTTCAACCCAGCTCAAAAATCGCTTTAGTTTAAAATTCCAACATCCCGTGTTTCATATAGCTTCTGATCACAAAGTATGGATTCTTTGCCCTTTTTTGTTGTTGACAAAGATTGTACAGTATATATCCTGGTTCACTTGTTGTGTGCTGGACACATCAACAACAAATTCTGTCTATAATTCATAGGATTGTACCCCTTTTTTGCAAATATCACTTGCCCTCAATAAATAACACATGCACCTTGTGGCCTAAGTTTGCACAAAAGGAGGCGGAATTCAAAAATGAAACACAAAATCAGCTGTGGGGTGCAGCTGGGGATTTCTTTTATGAAATCCCAAAGAAAAAGATAAAATTGTATTTCAAGTTTGTTTAACCCCAAGATTTGATTCACACAAAAACAGACTTCTTTCACACACAAATCACAATGGATAAAAAGATAGGCGTCACAATTACACACGCAAAAGCAACACAAATCGTTTTTAGTCTGTTCTTCTGCACACCTGATTTGTTAAAACCCTTGAAGAATACAGATTAAAATCTCTAGTATTCAATTAATATGGCTGCCATCCAACAGCAGTCAGTGTGCAGGCACAGCAGTACATCAAGGTACCAAATTATGAGAACATTTGGATAAAACCCGTATCCTGTTTCAAGACACGCAACTTGGTGTTGAAGAAATTCAATCTATCTAAAACCAAAATAGATGTAACTTGAAAATGACATTGGATTAAGAGTTGGAGTTATGAAACAAAGTCAAAGGATAACAACCAAATCTTCTGATTGACTTGAAAATGCTTATACTTTTGACATTACTGCTGATAAATAAATACAGTGATTTGGTTATAACCTGTGCCATCATTTTAAAATTTCTGCAAAAATGGATACCCATCTAACCCACTAGCGCACCCCTTTTTTGGCACAGTATTTTTTTCTGTCACACGTATATCATGATCTCACTTACACTACCTGTTCCTTTGTATTTTCTCACTCATATATTTCTAAAGAGTTAGTTTCGATAAACAAAGTTAAATTCATTCTATGGAGGTTTTCGAGGGACTTTACAAAAAGCACTGTCAGAACTTCTTCAAATTAAAGGTCATCCACCTCTCGAGAAAAATATAATCACCTAAGACTTGATCAGAATCATCAAACACGAAACCTTAGGGACAATGAGGATGATGGGGATGGGGGACAGAAATGGAAAGCAGATCATGTAAGGGGGAAAATTCCAATGAATGTCTTTAGATTAGCCTTCTTGATCTTTTGAGGAGCCATGAGGAAAAGTTACTTGTCTTGAACCATACATTCACAGCACCATACACAGTTTAACCTTACTTGCTCAAACTTTTTCAAGTCCCTCTTCAAATTCCCTTACGAACAATACACTACAAAACTTCCTCTCATAGGCTTTCCACCTTGAACTTTCTTTACTAATTTTCTGGAGGTCTTTTGTCTCCCTTTTTTAATTAAACCAGGGAATAGAAAATCAATGAAAATGTAAAATAATGAATTTTGAAAGGAAGTAAAAGACCAAATTGGGCAAATGAACCATGAGTGCCTCCAAGTTCAGCAACTACCTGTCAAGTAATTCAAAAAGCAATTTGAGGCCCAAAATGTCACAAATTACAATTTCCTGCTATACTCCTTCTTTCTTTCCCCCAACAAAAATGTTTCTCCTACCTAAATGGAGCCCTCATTCCTGAGTCAAATTCCTGAGTCAAATACTGTATGTATTTGAGTGTGTCCCTTATCACTGAAAATTCGATTTATTCAAGAGGTTTGACAATACTGTATACCACCAGCAGCAGTAGCCAGAATATGCAGATATTTCTCACTGCAGCACCAGGAAAAAAATAAAAAGAAACGAGGAAGGAATTCACTTATTGCTTCACTCATTCACTTTTGCCACTCTATACTGCTGTATCTACAGCTTGCTGGGGAAAAGGTGAGCTGAAGTCGAAGGGGCACGATCATATCATAGGGGGACTATATTACCTTTCGTCGGCCATGGCGGCGCCCCTGCGGAAGTCGTAGTCGGTCCCCGCCAGCGCATCCGCCGGCGCCACCACCGGGGATCCGTCCACTTGGCGGCCAGCCGCCGCCACCATCATCAGGAGCAGCAGCAGCGGTGGGGTGACTGATGCAAACACGCTCGTCCACTTCATCGGGGATTATTCGGGAATGATATAATAGGAGAAAGAGGAAAACTTGGGGGGTGGGGTTGGGGGGGAAATGAAGCACTTTCTTACAGCAGCGGTGGGGTGACTGATGCAAACACGCTCGTCCACTTCATCGGGGATTATTCGGGAATGATATAATAGGAGAAAGAGGAAAACTTGGGGGGTGGGGTTGGGGGGGAAATGAAGCACTTTCTTTCGGTTCAAATCAATCACTGATGGCTTCTCGTTGTTGTTGTTGTTGTTGTTTATTACCGTCTCTCCCTCTCTCTCTCTCTCTCTCTCTCGCTTTTTCTCCCGTCCCCCGTTCAGCGGGTTCCGTTCACTCGTCGTTCGTCCCCTTTTCGCGAAACGTCGGCACTAAGAAGAGGCGCTTTTCTTTTTCTTTTTCTTCCCGCCTGCTGCTGCTTCTCTTTCGGACACAGCAGCGAGAGCCGATGGGTGGTATACTTGCTTCGTTGGCAAGTTTGGCACTGTGCTGGAAAAGCCCCGCGGGGGGAGAGGGAGGGATGGATCAGCACTAGCAGACGAGAGGGCGGATATATGTGTTCTGCACCGACTCCCCTTTTCAATTGCCTGCTGTATAATGCTTCCTCTGCTGATTCCTTCTTTTTTTTTCTTCTTCAATTTCTTTATTGTATAGCTGATACTTGCAGCAGTGTACAGTCAGACAGTCGGTCAGTCTATTAAGCAGTATAATAAGTTGTGTGAGTTACGCGCTTTTTCCTTGCTGCACCCACACCCGGTCTGGATCATACTGTGGCATGGCCCGCGCAAGTGCTGGCCATCAGCACAGCAGTCCTGTCTCTCATCATGAGCTGTACAATACTCATTGTCCAAGCTCTTCTCATTTTAATGGACGAATGCCGTATGCATATATAATGACGGCGGCGTTATTTGAGGGTGGTTCTTTTATTCCTGTCCCCTTATTGCCATGTATAACACCATGTAAGAGTATACTGTACTGTACTGTACTGTATATGTGTGGAGAGTCTTGAATATATATAGGCCTGTTGGCTTAAACGTTTCTTCTTCTTGTGTTACTGTATACGGGATAAGGACAATTCAAGACAGGCACAATTTGAGGCATAGACAATTTCAAATGGGAGGGGCAATTTAGGACAGGGACACTAATGAACAGGGAACATTATATGAGGGAATCATAAGAGACAGGGACAGTGAGAGACAGGGGCAATTTGAGACAGCGGCAATTTGACACAGGAACAATGTGAGACCGGAATGATGTGAGGTAGGGCCTACTGGGGCAATTTTAAACAGACAGTGGAAGGGAAAATTTGAAGCAAAGACAATTTCAGAGAGAGGGTATTCAAGACAGGGACAAGAACAATTCAAAACAGGGACAAATTTGACAGAGAGGCAACTTGAAAGAGGGACAATTCAAGACTGTGGCAATTTGAGACAGGGAAGATTCGATACAGGACACTTACAAACAGGGTGACTTTCATACATGGGCAATTGGAGACAGAGACAATTTGAGACATTGACTTTTCCAGACAGGGACAATTAAGCATGGAAATTTTGAAAAATTTACGTTAAAATCCTTATCATTCTATGTATTCAACCCTTGGACAGTGTTGGGTTCTTTTGCATTGCGCGACAGTGCCTGGATTTTTTGCAGGCTCCTGAATTTTAGTTTGACCAAAGGTCACCAAAATGCAGCGTTGGCTGAGTAGCTGAAGTTGGGAAAAACTCCTGCAAAAAGAAAGTCATTGTCCTAATAATCCCCCATGCTAATCCTGTGGCAGAAATTCAGAAAAAATGGCACCCAACTGTAATTTTTTGTGCTTGTACATTTTTCTGCAGGCATGAAAAAAAAACGAATTTTCCCAACTTTGGCTCTTCCAATCAATTTTGGTCCCACTTTTTTTGACTCCTTTGGGGCACACCATTTTGCAGATGAATCATAGCACTGGTGCCCAATGGTTAAATAAACCAGAAGTCTACCTCAATCAAGGGAGGGGCCTGCATAGTTAGGTTCTAAGATTTGAGTTTTTACTTTATTGGGTGTTGTCAGACTGCAGTGATTATGGGAGGTGATTCAGTGTGGCATCTTGGGCTCCTTTGGCATATGAGAAGTCTTGAGCAAATCAGCAGCTCAAGAAGTACAGTTTATGGATCCAGAAGCATGCAGTTGATGAATATATCTAATTTTTCTGAATGACTAAATTATTTCTGTATAAAATTGGAAATAAATTTGGCATCAAATGTCTCTGCCTATAATTTTATTTGTCCCAGAATGCTTTGGTCAGATATTGTATATTCAGATCTCAAAGTACAGTATTTTCTGTTTAACAAAATGTTTCAAATGTCCCTGTCTCAGACATGTATAGTATAGTACATGTATAGTATTGTACATGTATAGTACTGTACATGTATAGTATTGTAAATGTATAGTATTGTACATGTATAGTATTGATGCATAGTATTGTACGTGTATAGTATTGTACATGTATAGTATTGTACATGTATAGTATTGTACATGTATAGTATTGTACATGTATAGTATTGTACATATACAGTATTGTACATGTATAGTATTGTACATATACAGTCAACCCCCATCTAATGGACTTGATTTGTGCAAGGGACGAGTCTGTTAGACAAAAAGTCCTTTACAGGAATTCAATTACATAAAAAATTAAAAATTTCAATTTTCAACACTAATTTTAAACCAAAAGAAGTCTGTTTGGCGGATTTTGTCTGTTGGGCGGGAGGAAAAACTGCTTTCAGAGCTGGTCTGCTTGGCAAAAATCCCTTACACAGGAGGTCTGTTAGGCAGGGGGCCACTGTATAGTATTGTACATGTATAGTATTGTACATGTATAGTATTGTACATGTATAGTATTGTACATGTATAGTATTGTACATGTATAGTATTGTACATGTATAGTATTGTACATGTATAGTATTGTACATGTATAGTATTGTACATGTATAGTATTGTACATGTATAGTATTGTACATGTATAGTATTGTACATGTATAGTATTGTACAATACAATACAATCCATTGGGGAATGGAATATGTAAGTAACCCAATCCCAGGAAAATTGTCTCAAGATTTAAATGGGGCTATAGCCAATCTTTGATTGTGTTTAATGACCCTGTGATGCGCGTTGAAGTTTTCATTAGAAAAATGTTTGAGAACTCGTGATTCTATAGAGGAAAATAAATGCGATACAGTTCCTATATACTCACAAAATGGCATGGTGCAGATACTGTAGGTTTTGTAGAACATGTTGATATTCAATCTGATTTATGTACAAAATGATTAATTTTGAACCTCAAAGGAATTCCCGCGAATCTCAGCCCGTTTACCAGTACTGTACACGATTAAACATAGCCAATTCATCCTCCTTGAAGCATAATCGGCAAGTACCGCATCAAATGCGAATAGAAGGATCGAGTTTTTGCTCGAAAAACACGCAAAATGCCAGAAACAGCATTTATAGAATTTTTCAAATAATAATATGATTTGAAGCAGACGTTTATATAGTCGGTGACCTTGACGCCATACAAACGTATATTATTCAGCTCCCTTTTTTTGCGGCCCCGGGTTAATTACCTTTCCTGCCTGGGACAACTTTTAGAGTGACACCCAGAAAGTCTTCCTTGTGTGCATCATAAACACAATTTCGAATCCCAAGTTCCCCTTTATACCGTTTATTCAACACGACCATGGCACAAATACTGCCTGCTGGAAAGACATACCGATCATGTGGCAACTCGCAGCACACTTCTTGAGCCCCGGGCATTAGGCCGGTACTCGGTGGCTCTCGGAGTGGTTCCCTAGAAAAAAGACGGGTTTTTACATTGTTTTCATGAATAAAGGGAACAACAATCATTTTCAAAGGAAGCCAAGCCATTTTGGTCTTGGACTTCACAATTCTTTGACTCATTTTGTGCAACATGAACAGTGTACAGTACTATTTTGCATGCCATTTTTTCATGGAGAGAATTGCTTTTTTTAAACAGCCATGACACAATATATATATGCCCTGATTACCGTGCACAACCTTTTTCTCAAATTTCAGAAAATAATATTTTCCTATATACTTCAATGGGAAATAGTCAATTGGCTCTCCTGGTTATCAAGAATTAGGAATACGTCTCCAAAATGTTGTAATAATTGTTTTTTCAACCTGAAGATACAGGGAATATTTGTGCTGCAGAAAATCACACACTGCATATGATCTGTTGGCCTTCAAATGAGCTCAAGAAGCAGAGAAAACAGGTTCTGCCATATTTCACAGCTTTTTCAGCAATGCACAGATGATGAAAAAATATCAAAATTAGCGTGTTTTTAGCTCTGACTTACAATTATTTATATATTGATTTTTTTTTTCGTGAAAATAAATGACTCAATTTTTCAAGAGATTTCAAAATTCAGAAACTTTTACATTTCCAAAATTTCTAGAACTTTTAGAAATAAAGTGTGTCTATCTTGAGACATTGTTTGCACACATATTGGCACAGTGCCAGTTTGGCATATCCCTGATAATTCGGATTGTCCATATGTTTGAGCCTCTGTACATAGTATGAGTCATGAATTTTCACAGCTGATAATCAAAAGAAGCAGCCAAAAGTGTAGCCTCCTGGATGAAAGAAACTTGCTGTATTTCTTTATATCTTACTCTGCCATTGCGTGGGTCAAGTATTTTCTTGGGTGAAGTTGATTAAATAAGCGAATCAACGCATTAGTTGGGAAAATGAAGTGCTTAGTCACGCGGAACTTATACTCATCCACAATACAAGAGTATAAGTGTGAGCTGATAACGCAAGTGCCTCTCATATATATGAATATATCAGATGTCTATGCAAAAAACAAGTATTTTCTGAGAAATCAGTACGGGTCTTATATTCATTCCAAATGACATCTGATGTTATTTGAGAATATTTGATTTGGGTAGTTTCAGTATTCGTTATCTGTTATCATTGCAGATTATTGAATTCAGTACTTCAATATTTCGTGCTCTATATTTATTAATGCCTCACTGCGAATCTAGAATCATTTAAGACTATTTGAAAATTTCTGATCAGAAAACATTGACGGTATACGTGGGAGTCATGTTAGACCTTCTCTCCTCGTTCTTCTATGACATATAGCGAGGTCAAGACCTTCATTTTTTTAGAGCACGTCATTTTCAATTTCTAAGGAATAGGACGCTTGAAAAAGATCTGCGACCGAGATGAAAGTCTCTAAATTTCGTCCTAGAATCCTATCCGATGAAGAAAATGAATTGGGGTCCCCTGTTGATATTATGTGTGAGCACGACCTTCAAGGTATCATTTTGTCAGTTTTTTTTTTATACCGGAAACCCTTCTACAGCAATGAAATATTATAATGGGAGTTAGTGACATGATGGGGATGACCCAAACCTGTCTGGGGAAATCAGCGGAGTAAACCTGAGGCTGAAAATTAGGAAAAAGAAAGAAATGTACTTGTTTCGAAGAAGAATGCCACTTGGGCCCTGAGGTGAGGACGTAATTACAGTGCAGTACTTCTAAGACTGTTTCCATACATCAAAACAAAATCAGTTATCATGCGCAAAATAAATTGAAAAAGTTGAGAAGTTGCTGAAAAAAAGAGAAGCGCAAAATTAGCCTGTCCTGGAAAATAATTAGAGCAGCGCATAAGATACATTTTGAATTTTTCTCATTGGAATATCTCAATTTGGTCAAGCGAGATGAGATATCAACATTTTGAAAAACTATACCTTATTTGCGCAAGTTCCATGCACCCTCAAATAAGATATGCATCTCATTTTTTGGCAGGACATTTAAAAAAACATTTATCGATGCATACAACATACACCCCAGTTTTACATGGTAAAAAAATTTAAAATTTTCAAAATGATGTCATAAAGGAAATAATCCCATATAAATAAATGTAATAACGTATAACATGGTAACTGGATTTGTGAAGAGAAAAATTCCATGTTCATCATTTTCACCTACCAAAAATTATTTTTATGTCTCACACCTCCACATTTCCATTTTTCAAAAACTGCATATTACCCCCATATTACCACTTGCACCCCACTTCTCTGTCTTGGTTTTGCATAAAAAAAGGTGCATGTGGTACTTGAAAAAAAAGTAATTTTTAATTTTTCTGAAAATGTTGATGCTTAAATTATGAAACACTAATTGTTCAGATGTCAATTTTTTCAAAGTTTAAAAATGCGCATGAGTCAAATGTCCATATTGTTGGGGACTCGCTGCGCACCCCGAATAAAAAATCAATTAAAAATATCTAATCGGGTGGCAAACCACCCGCGCGTAAAAAAAAACGGACAAAATCTGTCAACGGCTTTCCCCTCCCCAAGAAAAAATTAAATTTTCTTGGTGCCAAGACGTCTGTCTTGGCGCCAAGATGTCTTCAATTACCAATTTGTTGGCCAATCCCAGGCCTTTGAGATTCCCCTGCCCTTGATCAAACCCCCTTGATCAAGAACAGGAGAAGAAATTAATAAATACCCTTGTTTTCATCAAAATATACACAGTTTGCATCTTGTTGCCGTCGCATTGCGTTCAGAGGTTTTTTGAGAGGTTTTCAAACATCTTGTCCAGAACTCTTCCAAATTTTGTGTTGTCTGTTTTCATCATCAATTAGCTAATTTTGGTACTTCAAAATATACTCTAACTTTTAAATAGGGATTCCACCGTGAATTCCCGGCCCCTGTCCTGGGCTGATTCTGTGTTTTTCTTGAACTCTCTTTTACCTTTTACAAACCTTCCTTACAGCACTTTCTTGTTGCGTTGACTTCAGTCACCAACACATATGAAGAGGTCTGCCTGTACTTCTGATACCATCTGACTTACAGAAGGTAAAGCAAGCATGCAACAAAGTAGTGTGCTATCTGAGATGCTAGCTTTTGTATCTCATTTTGTTTTTTGATTTAGTGATACAAAGCTGTCAAATTTTTGGATCAACCCTCACACAGTGGCATTTTTTTCATCCCATATCTGGCATGGTTTTTTTTCTCTGCACACTGGCGCAATTCAGTTTGACCAAGTGAGGTCAGCAAAATTTACCCTCTTTGAGAAGGCCCATGTCAGAAGAAATTTGGAAAGAGTAAATCCTTTTGTTTTCAGAAATCTCCAAGGCTAATCATCTCCGAGGAATAATTCAGGAGAAAATCCCTCCCAGCAATAGTTTCTTCGGCCAACATTTTTTGCTAGCCAATAAAATAAATATTGGCCTTTTTCTAGACATATAGACCTTCGTTCTCAATCAGTTCAGGCTTTTTTTCATCTTTATTTTCGAGCTTTCGGGCACAGAATTTCGCAAAATATTCCAGCTTTGCTGTATAGAAGGGTTATACAATATATAAGACCATAAGCCCACAAGCCAGAAATTTTGCTGAAATTCGCTCGAATAGACGTCACTGTACAGCAGACATCTTGCAATAATGTTATGAATGAGTGTAGTTTCACACCCATGAGTATAAACAGTGCATAGATGTGGAAACATATGAAGCAAAATGCCTATATATACAGCACTATACACGAATAAAGACATGCGCAGTGAAGGACGCCAAAGTGGATGACTCTAAATCCCCGGCTCTCGAGCAGCATTAGTTCTTCTCGCGACTCGTCGCCAGCACATCACACCTCATTCCAGCAGCTGCTTTCCGCGCAACATCCGCCAATTGCCAACTCCTTTCTTTTTTTTTTTGGCAAGAAAAGGCTTGCTCATACAAGCACCTTTCTTCCTCTGCGGGGAATAACATGCGGACACTTCTGTACTTTCTCGTCGCCGCCTTCTTCGTCATCTTCGTTTCCGACGCCTACATCCTCGTCCCTCGTCGTGAGTCCCTTCGACAAAATGTTTTGCAAATTTCTTTCTCGTTTTGACTCTTCGCGAAAAAAAACGAAATGCCGAAAAAAAATATTAGCAGGATCTGAAGGATGTGCGTCAGCAGAGGGCCATCAACACCATGATCACCATCATCACCAACAGCAAGGTCATGAGATGTCACCGGTTGACCAGCTCTTTGACCCTGTCCCTTCGAAACTAATCAGTCAATACGATCCTGGTGATTCTTGAATTTTCGTTTGTTTGCAAGCCGTAAAGTTTGTTTGCTGATGACTACAAGTGCAGTAGTAATTAGGCAGTCTCATCAGAGTGAGACAGAAAATGCTCGGCTTCATATAGACATTATTGATGATGTGAATATAGTTGGAATACGTGATTAAAATAGTCATCTTTTTTGAATCGAGAATTTAAAAATTTAACGTAAACCGAAGGTTCAGACGAGACCTTTTTTAATATTTTCAAGAACTTGAGAAAGGAAATAAGCCAATATTTCCCTTTCATTACATGCAATTCATTTACTTATATTCATTTGCAAGATTTTAAATTTAAATTTTCGCAGATACGACTCCAATCTACAGGAAATCAATAGTACTGTGCAAACATTCAAAAGCTTCCGTAAAAAAATTTTCATTCCTAATTTTTGGCTTCTCAATTCATCCTCGGATGAAAAATAAAATATTGTCCAATTTTTTTATTTAAATATAATCTCGATTCACTTTATTTAATTGTAACTTTCCGTTTTAAATTGAAAAGAAATTGTCATGATTTTTGCTTCATCTCGAAACAAGTCCGTCAATGATATTGACTACAGTTTTCGAAGAACAGCTATAGAAATGCAAATTTATTTTGCATTTCGTCAGACGTATATCAAATAATTTAGCAAGATACATTTGTGAAAAGTGTCCATAGGCTTTTAAAGTGTCAGTAATGTGTTATTGCATGTACTGTATGTGAGAGCTCATATAGTTGCGATGCTGGTATAACAAATTGTATGACAGCAAGTGACAGAAGTGCAGTATTCGTATTATTTGTGAAAAAATTCAGGGTGACTTCTCATCACATGGATTAGTATACAGTAATTACTCTTAGTATCCCTTGATGGGGTTGAAAGAGAAGAGTATACAAGCTTGGCTTTTCACAATAATGCATGTGCAAAACGTTGCTTGGGCTGCGCTAATCTGAACGTTTTCGGCAGCAATTCACGAAATATTTGGTGGTATCTGAAGAAATATATCCTTTAAAATAATGTATGAAAAAAGGAAAAGAGACCCAATTTAATTTCCCACTATGCAGTTTTTACACTATTTGAAGAGGAAAATTTCGTTTTAAGGCTGACTCTCACTTTTGCATTTCCGCCTTATATTTCGTGAATTTCTGCCGAAATGCTTCAGAATATTTAGAATTTAGAAAACGCTTCTCAGTGTCTCAAGTCGGCGTTTGCGAAGAATGCTGTTGGCTGCCGTGAATTTCATTTCGGTTTGTGATGTATTAGAAAAATGGAAGAATGGTGAAACTGTGATTGATGGCGAAGCAATTGGCCGTTTCCCAGATGTTGTCTAAATTTTCAACTCGAAGGACAAAAAGAAATTTTAAATTCAGTTTACAACTTCAAGCGATGGGATGGGATACGAATTTGTTTAAAGCAAAATTAGACTTTCTCTATATAAGAAATGAACAGGAATTCTTCTGTGCTTCGAAATAAATCTTACAAAGACAGTTTTTAGACCAGAAGTACAGTATTTTATTGTTGCTAATTTGGAAACGAATCGTGATGAAAACGAATCAGTTTTTGCATCAGTTAATTTGTTCATGAACTGACTATAGCTGGTTTAATATTTTGCTCGTCCTTGGGAAGTTATGGCAGGTATGAACAATAAGTATTCAGATGAGCAGCAAGTATTATATCAGAGCATACTGTATACAGTATATACAAAAGAAATCCTGAGCACAAGACAGTGAAAAATGTAAGATAAACTGACGATCCCGATTAAATTCAACTAATATCCATCCTCTCAAAATTTCAGGTGTAGTTTTATTTTTGCTGCCACAACGCTGCAAGTTATATGAATATTTGAAATTCTGTTTAAACTATTGCGGAGCACATTTGTTCATTCCACTGACCTGCTATACAGTATAGTGAAACTTTTGAAAGATACGATTTTTGCCAGAAATTCACTATTTTAAAAATGTATTTTTATTTTTATTTTATTTCTTTATAATGTCATGAAAACGTTTTCCGAAAAAACTTTCCCCTAAATATGAAACCCAATTTTTTCTAGACAATTTTGAAAAAAATGCACTCCTTGTAAAGAATCGCAAATTGTTTTAAATTCTGAAAATCATTGATGTAATTTTTGAAGTTCAGGAGGACTTTGATCAAATTGAGTCATTGAAAGTAGGATACAGTTCAAATCGAATGGAAGACCAGCTTTTAAACCTATTTTTCATCATTCAAAATTTTATTCTGGATTAATTTATACTTCCATAGTTCCTCATGCGATGAAAGTTATTGTGACCAGAAATTCAAAAGAAATATAAGATGACAATGGTTTAGGCGAATTGTTATTTTTGAAACGAATCTATCATTTTTCCCTTTCTGAAAACGGTGGATGGAGTTTTTGAAATCCAGGGGGATTTGTATAACAGTTTAAATTGATTGATGGAAGATCATTTTGTAAATCTACTGATTTCTGGTCAACTTGAAAAAAATTCTTCTGAAATAATTTCTACCTCCATCAATATTTTTAATTATTCAATTGGGTTATTATATCGTGAAATTTAAAATAAATGATGCAATTCCTATACCTTGGAGAGAGAGAGTGAGAGAGGAGAAAACACAAGACCTTTTTTTTTTGCAATCTTCAGCAGAAACTCAAGTTCTCCCCTTTGTTCTTGTACATTATAAGAAACTTGCTCTTCTGATGCTCGAATATTGTTTCATATACTGTACAGTACTGTCCGTAAAAGAAGATCATTTCGATCAAGCTATGAATTTATCATTGACGGGAATCATGGGATCTAACCTTCGGCTTTTTTTTCTTTTTTATTTCTCTTTCAATTCTTTTTTTTTTTAAATTCGAAACTCGTTCCAATTCGTGCTGCATATGTGGCCCACCACGACAACGGGCATGGCCTCAGGTCGCATGCCGGCCTTTGCGCGGCCCGCAGTGGACGTGCCACCGCTGCCCGCACCGGCGCCGCTCGAACGCCGCGGGTCGGCGCTGGCCGAATACGACCCCTCGCGACTCGGGCCAGCTGGACGAGCATTCATGGCCGGCTGCGGGTCGCCCGAGGACTGCGGCCGCCGCTTCTCCAACTACCTGGGCGTCCTGCTCAACATGATGGCCAACGGGCGGCGGCGCTGATTCAAAAACATGCCTTTCCACAAATAATGACGCTGCACCGATGATGATTATTCCGACTCCTCGCATTCGCCGAAATGTCAATTGCTTATATAAATTTCAGCCCCAAAAAAAAGATGAGAGAGAGAAATGAGACTATTGTTGTTTTCGGTTTTGCTCTCTTTTCTTTTTACTTTCCCCGCCCGTTTTGTCTGACGTATTTGCGTGCAAGCACAGACCCGGGAGGAAATGAGAAGGAGAAGGAAAGAAAACTACGAACTGCAATGCTGCTGTGCCAAGTCTTGGTTATTTTTTGCCTTTCTTTATACGGTCTAATTGCATCTCTTTTTTCCTTTTGAAAAATCATAACTGCCGCCCGTGGATCTTTCAGTTTTTAGGTTGCTGACTGCGAAATTCACACATTAAGAGGGCTCAAACAAATATTGTATCCATTGTGCATTACAACGATTTATCAGCAAACGAATTTCAAAATTGGTGGCCAAATACGAGCAGAGAAATCATTGAACAGAATAAAGACAAAAATATTGACAGCAATCAGGCAAACTTTCTTGGACTCATATATGCCAGAGAAAAAAAGGTTTTATTCTCAATAAATGCTTGGGTGGCAAATAAGGTGATAGACTTGTTTTGCAAATTCCTTGAGATGCGCTCACAGATGACAAAAAGGCGTGTTTTACTCAAGGAGAGAAGTTTATTTTTCAACCTTGACCCAATTGTGTTGTTACGTCATTCACAGATTAAGGTTGACCCTTGTGCAGCAAAGTCGGGATATTTTTGAAAAAGCGTGTGCCACTGAGCACTGGACATTTTAAAAATCCTGCTTTTGTATACCAAGGACTAAGTTGGGAAAAAGTCTTTTTTAATCTTGCAGAAATTCTTGAATGAGGAAAAAAAACATCCCTCACTGGGTGGTGTTTTTTTCACCATTCCTGGCATACTATTTTCATGGGAAAATCCTAAAAACAATAGGAAATTTGCCTCCTGGATTTTTCATGACATATAGGCCTTCTCAATGTTAGCACTTCAATGACCTTGGGTCACACTGAAATGCGCCACCCCCTAAAATCCCAACTCTGCTGCGTAATGACAAAAAAACCCTCCATGCCATTCACGGGTTAAACTTTAGAAGCCAAGATTCCAGTTTAATATAGTGACAACAGGCAAAGTCCCACTTTGCTACATTTCAAATACTGGTATGGTTGAAACAGCAGCATATTTTAAGTTTTTTTTTTAGCCAGCCTGACAATTTTTTTTTCTGGCTTTAACCGGAAAGCTTTCACTTATCATCATGATGCAGCAGTAAATTGAAGAAAAAAATTAATCCCAAACCTTACAATATTATGGGACATGTCACAATTTTCTTTTCAAATCACGCCTAATCTGTCAATAATATCTGAAGTCGCGTCCGACTGGGACAATCCTATGCAATGAGACGAACTTAAAATGTCTGTGGCATTCAAATTTCTGCGAATGTTGCATCTTCTACGTATTTTTTTCTGGACGGTTCGTATGAGTATAATAGAAACACATAAATTAGCGATAGGAAAATTGGTTCGAGTAGTTCAATCAGAAAGTACCAGAGCGGCTGTTTTGTACCGAATGCCTTTCTGTACGAAGGAGTCAGACGAAGGGACTTGGACTTAGGTCAGGTTATTTGCTCTAATCCGCTGACACTGCAAGTTAATATGGTCTCGACAAAAGTCAAGGGAAAGAAGCGGCTGAATGAAGAAGAGGAAAAAATACGACTGGGATTGTCAGTGTCAATTTGCTGTTGGCTCAAACGGATTCCGGAATATATACAAGAGAAAACTTCAAAAAAATAGGAAGAGCGCAAAGCCGGAAACCCTGATTTCAAACATGGCGGTGCCGGTGAGTCAGTGTTCACTGATTTTTTTATCACTTTGGAGTTGTAAAAATTTTATAAACTTTTTTTTTTTTTCTAAGTAGCCAAGGACGACACCCCGCACGACCAAGAAGTTCGACGATATCAAACCTGAAGACGCTGTGGCTTAGTATTGCCTGCAGGTGAGTGAATTGAATGTGCATACATTTATTTGAAATTCATTTTGAAAAGGATTCCCTCAAAGGAACTTTTTACGATTTGCTCAACCACAAAATACTTTTTGTGGCGAAGACACCAAAGTATAAACGCGCGGAAATTCAGTGGGAAAACGTCATTTCAGCTGCAATACATGCATTTTTTGTTTTTAAATAGGTTTTTATGCAAAATAAAAGTAAAGAGGCAGAGTTTGAGACGTTTATTATGGAGACGTCTAGAGTTTGAGACGTGCTGCCTTAACCAATCTCTCAACATTTCCATTAAAGTTAGTCTTCAAAAGGTCACTTATTCCCATTCCCACAGAAGCGCTTCGTACATGTTGAAAAAAAAATCCTGGAATGTTTTCAAGTGGAGGAAAACTTTATCTTTTAAGGTTGCCCAATTACTCAGTGAATTATTTTCCGTTTTGCTGCCTTAAAAAAATTGTATCGCTCTGGGGAACGTTTTTTTTTTTTTTAAATAAAAGTAATGCATGTTATCCTGCAGCAGGGTACTCGAAGCCCATGGCAAAACCGTATGAATCCTACTTGGCCCAGACAAGCTATGGCAAGAACCCGTACCAGGGAATGCAGTACTCTGCAGCACCCGCAGGCTATGCACCTTCAACCAGGTGTCCCCCTTATCACAGCAATTGCATCATCAACAGCAAAATCAAGTGCTATGGAGACTACATGGAAATCCTGCTTGAGTGAGTTTCTTCTGTCATATAAACTTAGGTGTGGAACAAATAACAAGAAGTCATCTGTAGATTTTCTGATTCATNCGGTGAGTCAGTGTTCACTGAAAAAAAATAGTGAAACCTCAACATTTTTAAAATATTTGAAAAAAAAAAAAAGATTCATCGGTTCCTGCTGTGGGGCGTGCTGGTTCTTCAAGCTGCTATAGTTTGGACTTCTGCGACACCGAATCATGCAGGTGAGTCAATTGAATGTGTATAAAGTTATATTTGAAATTCATTTTGAAAAGGATTCCCTCAAAGTAACTTTTTACGATTTGCTCAACCACAAAATACTTTTTGTGGCGAAGACACCAAAGTATAAACGCGCGGAAATTCAGTGGGAAAACGTCATTTCAGCTGCAATACATACATTTTTTGTTTTTAAATAGGTTTTAATGCAAAATAAAAGTAAAGAGGCAGAGTTTGAGACGTTTATTATGGAGACGTCTAGAGTTTGAGACGTGCTGCCTTAACCAATCTCTCAACATTTCCATTAAAGTTAGTCTTCAAAAGGTCACTTCCCATTCCCACAGAAGCGCTTCGTACATGTTGAAAAAAAAAATCCTGGAATGTTTTCAAGTGGAGGAAAACTTTATCTTTTAAGGTTGCCCAATTACTCAGTGAATTATTTTCCTTTTTGCTGCCTTAAAAAAATTGTATCGCTCTGGGGAACGTTTTTTTTTTTTTTTTAAATAAAAGTAATGCATGTTATCCTGCAGCAGGGTACTCGAAACCCATGGCAAAACCGTATGAATCCTACTTGGCCCAGACAAGCTATGGCAAGAACCCGTACCAGGGAATGCAGTACTCTGCTCGTGGGCGTCCGATACGTGGAAGTTGGTCCACAGGGGGAATAGTGTCGTTAACGTAGTAGTTGTCGTTTTAGTTCACGATACCTCTGATGTACCTTTAGGACGAACTCACTCAAAGAAGACAGTATAAAACTTAGGTGTGGAACAAATAACAAGAAGTCATCTGTAGATTTTCTGATTCATTTATGTTATAGGTCAACATTTGACCCACAAAATCCAAATTTTCTCTGTCACGCTTTCATTGGCAAATATTTTTGAAAAGCATTTTCTCGACTTTTTGGAGCGTTTCTGATTGTATTGCAATAATTCATGCATTAATTTAGATCATCGAACGATTGAGGTCAACTTACTTTTCACATCTAAATTATTATCTCCAACAATTTTGCTATTAAACATCATGAACATATAATCTTGCATGGCCATTATTTACATTAAGAACATGAATATAAATTACTGAACTCCTAAACGTTTTGTCAAGTCAAAGTTATTCGACAGTTACTCCACAAAGTCCCTCGAGTGAATATACATGAACGTATAGTGCAATTAGACGTTTTTATATATGTCATGAAGAGACGTTTATCTAAAATATTTCATAGTGAAAATAAAGGATAATTGTTTGTACTTTATTAACAGCCCAAGGATGGAATTTTTCAAAGTTTCTTTCAAAGTGACTTGCACTTCCTCAAAAAACCGAGCTCTTGTTAAAAAAAAAGGAATTTCCCCTTCTTCGGAAGAAAATTCTTTAGTACAGTATCAATATTGTTGAACAAATAGGATATTCAGCCAAGTATTGTTGATGGTCATTGATAATTTTAAAAACCAGGATGTCATGCATCGCTTTATTGTCCTTGTTTTTATCTTTATTTTTGGTTCACTTTATCCAAGCTCGTCATGAAACTGCCTTATTAAATGCACACCCCGTTCATGCTGCTGACGTTGGACATGTTCCGCGGTAGAATGCCGGCGCCGCACTTTCGGGAGTCGAATGCCGAAAGCCCGAACACTTGCCCCACTTACGGCGGGTTCGCCGACTATTCAGCAGCATATCCGGGCCCTGCTGGGAAGAGTGCTGAGTACCAGGGCCGCAATTTCCAGATCGTTGTGCAATTTGACGAGTACGTCGTGTCGCACGAGGATGTGAGCTTCGTGGCTCGCTGCGACAAGCCGCCAGAGGGCCCGAGGCAGGTCTACTTCACCTACACTGTAACGGACCGATTTCCTCTCTTGGTCGCTGTGCGTTACTCTCACACATTTATCCTTTTATTTATTATTATTTTTTGTCTTTATGCTCATTATTTTCACTCTTCTTATTACAGTTGAACCTAAGTCTCTAAGTCAAATTTCAAGGGACCAGCAAACAAATTTGACTTATTATATGGAGGTTTTGAATTGAGCTACAATACAAAACCCTTTTGTTCCGGGAAACATAGAAAAATTGCTCAAAATTGTAAATTGTGATATTCTGAGGCTGAAATTACTTCTTAACCCTCGGACGGCGGAGGGTTCTTTCCCATAGTGGGATGGAGTCGGATTATTTTTGTTTCCTCCCGCATTTTCAGTTTTGGGAAGGTCACCAAAACCCTTCCAGGTGGGCTGAGGCAAAGTTGGGATTAATAAAAAAAAAGCCAGTAGCCTAACTGAGAACTTTTTTTTTTGTCGGGAACATTTTTCTGTGTTCAGA